AAGGTGAAAAGGTGGAAAACCCTTAGAACCAGGGTGTGACACACACACACACACACACCTGTGAACAATTAATGTGACGATAATATTAAGAAATCAAAACACATGGAAGCTTGGCATGGCTTGCAACCAACACTTCGCACCTCGGCAAAACGCTCGGGGAATGGGCACGGCAGGCTCCTCGCCTCACAGGAATCAGGCACCCACACCCTGGCAATCCTGACATGTTATATACCACAGGTCTCTCAGAGGTCTTTTGGATCAGTACATTCCGGCTGTAATTCCCGACTGCCATGTTGTCTCTTGAGACCACTCATCACAAACAAGAACAGCTGAAGGTCTTGAGATGTCTTGACCGCAGGCGGAACTGTACCACGAAGTACATCATGCCCAAAACATCATTTAACTCCAGCCTGTGTTTGGGACAGGTGTTGGAGGCGCTCGAGGGATCGCCTGAACTGCCCAGTGCACTTGTTTGGTGTTCAGGTCCTTGACGACCTTGGGACACAACATGCCTTGTCAACGACCTTGTGCGTGGATAACTCCAATACTGTAAATAGTGGAGAACAATGCATTTCATTCTGGATGCCACTGTTAGCAGGTCCAAGCAACTGTTAGCTGAGCATCTTCCTGCAAGTGCGTGCCGGTTTTGAGGCGCTATAGAACCCACCCCCGTGGCTCAGTCTAAGTTCAGTCCATTCCTACTACATCCACTTGTTGCAGCTCCCTATTTTATGCTATTATCTAGCTTCTGTTCACTCCACTTCACGCCTCCCAGTTGTAGGCTGCCTCCAGTGCAGACAACCTTAGAACAAAATCAAGACAGTAACACTCAAGAAAGTCATGTCTTGGGTTTTGGACCACAATCATCTCCAATGTCGCTTAGAAACAGCCGGTGCGATACTTTGAATGATGATGCTGTTCTTAGCAGCTGTTCCGGCTCATAAGTGCGAGTCCTGAGCTGGGAAGAAGCTGGGAAACGCGATGAGAAGCTTGACCGATTTACCAAGCTAAGTTGCTGTGCGAACTTCTTCAAGAAGCTTAGGGCCACACACCTGGGTACTGTTTCAGCTTCTCCGGCAACCAAACGCCAACTATAGCACTAGAAACTGTACTCTGCCAAAAGCCCAGTGCATTGACGACTTCCGACCAGACACGTGTCTATATGGGCCAACTCATCCTGGATGTCGTACAAGAGGGCCAGGCCCACCTGCACGATGATCCTCCATCCAGCCACCAGGAATCCTTGGAATATATGTGGAGACTGGCCGTGCAGGGGGGGTTGCAAGCTTCCAGGAGACTTTGTGCAATTTCACCCATGTATGTATATACTATATATACGGTATACATCGATATATGTGCGTATGTATGCATGTATATATTGTCAATTTCGGCCTTGCTGCATGTCACATGTTGACCAAGATGCATCGTTCGCCATTGCCACAGACTCAAGGGTGGGTGGGTGGCTGTCAGTTCGTGCGAGCCATAGGAAACGACCGTCGGAGCATCACAGGGCTGGTGTTGGAAAAGGAAGCGGTCGCTCAGGCTACGGTGGAAGGGGAAGCAGGAGCTTCGACCATTTGGCTTCGACAATTCAATACCCTTTTCTGCTTGTTCGCGTGAGTCCAATCGCCGGCTGTCTCCCTACCAAGTCGAAGCCGGTGTGGTTTCGATATTGGTAGCGGAGCTACCTGGACGATCGCACAGGGAGTTCTTGAACGTACATTGCTGGAGCTGTTGACATTGCATTGTTGGACAAGTTGAGTTTGAGATCATGCCGGACTCCGCAGGTTCAACGACCTTGGACGTTGGTGCAGCAGGATCGAGCAACCAGCTGGCTTCACTGATTCCGACTTTCGATCCATCGACAGATAGTGTGGAGCAGTGGACCCAAAAGATTGAGCTGCTCACCAAGGTGTGGCCTGAAGGCCGCTTGAATGAGTTAGCAACTCGCATCATCCTCAACTGCCGAGGGTCGGCATTTGCAAAGTTACAGCTACAACAGAAAGAACTTCTTTCAGGCAACGTCGAAAGCATCGCCAAGATTGTGGAAATAGTTGGAGGCCAATTTGGCCAGGCAAGCCTTGAACAGAAATTTGACATCGTGGAAAAGGCTCTCTTCAGGCGCAATCAAAAAGCCAACGAAAGCGCTGATTCGTATTTGGCCAGGTCGGAAGTTGTATGGACTGAATTGTTGATGAAAAAGGTGAATCTGGCTGAAGTTCAGGCCTACATCATCCTCCGAGGCACTTGTCGAGTCCGGCGCCGAAAAGGCCGGTAGCGAATTGGAGATGAAGAAGGTCTCAGCTGCAATCAGGATGTTGGGTTCAATCTTCTTCACCGAGTTCACCTCCGGGAAGCGTGAAAAGAACCAGAAAACGTATGATCACCTCACCTTTGGAGTCGATGAAGTGGAGGAATACTCCTGGGAAGGGGATGACCCCATGGAAGAAGAGAACTTGGAGCCTTCAAGCAATACTAGACAAAACGGATAAAGAGAAAACCATTTGCACCATGGAAGAGTTTGAAACCGCATTCTCTTTTGCCACTCAGACCAAAAATAAATGGTCCCGTCGCAAGGGTTATCCACCAGAAATGTTAGTCTTTGGGAAGATGAGCAAGATACCAGGGTCCATCACAAGTGACACGTCGAATGCCGCTCATGATTTGGCCCTTCAGAATACATCCGACGGCATCAAATTTCGTACCAAGCTGGCCATCAGAGAAAGTGCTCGGAAAGCATTCTGCGAAGTGGATAATTCCCAGTCCCTTCGGAGAGCAGAACACCAGCGGACACGTCCAACGCGGACGGTATACCACCCAGGTGATTGGATCATGGTGCGGCGAAAGGACAACAATTGGTTTGGACCGTTGAAGATCATCCTCCAAGAGGACAAGAACGTCATTTGGGCAGTACTAGGTAATAGACTCTTCCGAGTGGCCCCCGAACATGCCAGACCTTTGTCTGCAGTCGAAGAAGTTCAACACTGGAAACGAAACGACCACCAAGACATGCAAGTTACTTTAGACAATCTTCGATCCGGAAATACCAGGGTTGCAGATTTGTCCAATCCCGAAGTGACGATACCACCTCCTGTCGCGACGAATTCGAACCAAGAAGAAAGCATTGAACAACCGGATCAAGAACCAGGAGTCCCAAATCAGTTTGATGTATCCCAAACAAATTCTGAACAAGAATACACTCCAACAATTCCAGACACACCGGAACATGAAAGTGCCCAGCCAGCACCTGAGAACATACCCATTCCGGAGGATGGAGATGAGGATTTGTTTTGTGAAGCATTCAACTGTGATGGCGAAGGACAGGCCTGGAGATTTGAAGTGGATATTGAGTCGAGGGATATTCAAATGTGGAGACAAGATCCCCAACCAGCAGAACTCGCCTTTCTAGTATCCGCCTCGAAAAGACAGAAAACAGAAGTGAAGCTTTCCAACTTAACACATGCCGAAAGAAAATTGTTTGATGAAGCCAAAGCCAAAGAAATTCAGAGCTGGCTAGACACTCAAACGGTCTGTCGTATCTTACGTCACAAGATTCCCCAACAGAACATTTTAAAGCGCCGGTGGATTTTGACCTGGAAGAACGCCGACGACAACACACATCTCAGTGCCGACAGCAAGAACGTGACCTCCCGGAAAGCCAAGGCACGCTTGGTAATCTTAGGATACCAGGACCCAGAATTGAGCAACCTCGAACGGGACAGTCCCACATTGACCAAACTGTCCAGAAATCTGTTATTGCAAATGCGCGTGTCCAATCGCTGGGAGATCGGAAGTTTTGATATCAAAACGGCATTCTTGAGGGGCCGTGCTGACTCTCGAATGCTTGGACTCGAACCACCTGAAGAACTGCGGGCCAAACTTGGCCTTCGACCGAATGAGGTGCGCCAACTGCTTAAAGGAGCATATGGTCTAGTCAATGCTCCACTTTTGTGGTTCCGTGAACTGTCGAAGGCATTGATCAACCTCGGATTCCAGCCAGCACCTTTCGATCCCTGCAGCTTTATTTTGTTCGATGAAAACAACAAGACAAGAGGTTTCATCGGTGTACATGTCGATGATGGTCTGTTTGCAGGGGATTCAGTGTTCCATGGAAAAATCAATGAACTGGAAAACCTCTTTCCATTTGGAAGTCGCAAGAGGCGCAATTTCGTCTTTACTGGTCTTCAAATCAACCAATATGAAGATTACTCTATTCATGTTGACCAGACCCAATATGTTAAGGACATCAACCCAATCAACATCAGCAAAGACCGAAGAAAGTTGCTTGAAGAACCGATCAACGACCAAGAACGCCAAGACCTTCGAGGATTGATAGGAAGCCTGCAGAATGCCTCAGTAAATACCAGACCCGACCTTGGCAGTAGACTTAGCTTCCTACAAGGAAAAATACACAACGGACAGGTTCAAGATCTCAGGTTACTTCATGATGCCAAAGTTCATGCCGATGTTGCCTGTAAGTGCCGATTTATCCCGTTAGAGGATATTCGATTCGTAGCATTCTCAGATGCTTCCTTTGCATCTGAAAAGATTCAATCATCCCATCAGGGTCTTATGATCATGGCAGCCCACCAGGATATTGGGAAGAACAAGAGAAGTATAGTCAATCCCCTCATTTGGTCTTCGAAGAAAACCCAAAAGGTGGCAGTGAGCACCTTATCGGCTGAAGCCATGGCCTTGGCCGGGGCAATGGATATCCTTGCCTGGTGTCGACTATACTGGGGATGGCTGAAAGATCAAAGCTGCCAATGGAGGTTAGGCGACAAGACATTGTCCACACTTCCTCCAGCCTTCTCAGCGTTTAAAGATGAACCAGACCTTGTTGATCCCAACCAATCCCTAAGGGAAAATCTGATGAAACTCAAGGAAATTGGAAAACAGGATTCCCTAGTGGCCACGGATTGTAAAAGCTTGTTTGATCTTGTCAGTCGCACGGCTCCACCAGCATGTCAGGAGTTCAGGACACTCCTACAGGCCAGACTGATTAAAGAGCACCTGGCACCGGTGTAATTGCACGCTGGGTCCCTTCAAGCGCTCAAGTGGCTGATTGTTTAACAAAAATTATGGATACCACCACTCTCCGTGAACTAATGCACATAGGCCGGTATCAGCTCAAAGACGAAGAGGAGATTCTTCGTCATAGGTCAGATAAGAAAGCCAGACTCAAGTGGATTCGCAGCCATGAACCAGCAGTCACGCCAGAGCTTGAATGAGGGAAAAGCCAAGACGTCCCCATTCAGCGATGAGCGGATGATGCGAAACCCACCCAGGAAATTCAAGAAATTTGCAAGTTTTTGTTTGTCGCTTTGCTTCAAAGGCCAACGAGGATTGGCGAAATCTTGTACAATCGTGTTTGGGGCCGATAACCGGATTGGACTACAAGAGTCGTGCAAAGCTTGGGAAATTTATTCGTCTGAATAAATCTTCTTGCTTAGGGGAAGAACTGCAGCAATGTCAACATCTCAACAAAATTTTAATACAGGGAATGTCAATTTCGGCCTTGCTGCATGTCACATGTTGACCAAGATGCATCGTTCGCCATTGCCACAGACTCAAGGGTGGGTGGGTGGCTGTCAGCTCGTGCGAGCCACAGGAAACGACCGTCGGAGCATCACAGGGCTGGTGTTGGAAAAGGAAGCGGTCGCTCAGGCTACGGTGGAAGGGGAAGCAGGAGCTTCGACCATTTGGTGCAGGGCACCTTTGTTGAACAGGGATTTCAACCGGGAGAATTCAATACCCTTTTCTGCTTGTTCGCGTGAGTCCAATCACCGGCTGTCTCCCTACCAAGTCGAAGCCGGTGTGGTTTCGATAATATATATATATGTGTGTGTGTGTCCCACCCTGGACAAAGGGTCTTACCCCACCCCACCATT